GGTAATTGCATTTATTTGCTTGTTTGTTTATGGTACTGAGATCAAATCCAGGGCCTGGTACATGCTAAAAACCTGCTGTCTATGGAGCCACACTCTAGCCCTGATTTCTAATTTTTTGAGGAACTGCCATACCATCTTCTATAGCAGCTACATCATGGTACATTTCCACCAACAATGCGCAATGGTTCTAATTTCTCTACTTCCCCATCCATACCCATTGTGTGTGTGTGTGTGTGTGTGTGTGTGTGGTACTGGGGCTTGGGACTGTGTGCTTGTGAAGCAGGCAGCGGAACCACTGAGCTAAATCCCCAGCCCAAAACTGTTTTTTGGTTTTGTTTTGTGTTTTTGTCTTTGTTTTTTTTGATATGGGGGATGGAACTCAGGACCTTGCACTTGCGAGGGAGGCGGTGGCATCACTGAGCTAAATCCCCAGCCCTTAATGTTGTTTTGTTTTGTAATGAAGTCTCTCCATATTGTCCAAGCAGACATCAAACTCCTAGACCCCAGAATAACTGAGACAAGAGGGGTGTGGCACCATACCCAGCTTATTTTCTGTATTTTTAATAGAACACATCCTAGTATGCATTTCCCTAAAATTAGTATCTTTTCTTTTTTAGTATACTCAGTTTTTGGGCCAGGGATTTAGCTCAGTGGTTTTCGCTGCCTGCTGCGCAAGCACAAGTTTCTGAGTTCGATCCCTGGTACCAAAAAATAATAATAATAATAATAATTTTTAAAATTGTATTAAAAAATATACTAAGTTTTCAAAATCCAGTATCTGAGCTATACTGAAGGCCCATCTCAATTTGGACTGATCACATATCAAGTACTTAACAGTTGGCCACTACACAATTGGCTTTTTGTATCTGCAGGTTCCAAATCCTAGATTCAACCATGGTAGATTAAAATTTTTTTTTGGTACTGGGGATTGAACTTGGGAACTTGTACTTTCGAGGCAGGCCCTGGAACCACTGAGCTAAATCCCCACCCGGATTAAAAATATTTTTTAAAAAAATCAGGGTCTGGGGGATCTAACTCAGTGGTGGAGAACTTGCTAAGCATATGGGAGGCCTTGGGTTCCGTCCCCAGCATGGCAAAAAAAAAAAAAAAAAGCATCTATATTGAATATGTACAGATGTTTTTCTTATCATTATTCTCTAAACAATATGCTATAAGAATGATTTTCATAGCACTTGTAGTAGGTATCACAAGTAATCTAGAAAAGATTTAAAGTAACACAGGAGGGTGTGCATAGATTATATGCAAATACTACAGCGATTTATATAAAGGACTTGAGCAGCCACAGATTTTGATATGTTTAGGAGATGCTGGAACTGACCCCCCATGAACACTGTGCCCGTACTTATTGAAAGATGTGGTTCGAGAGGGAAAAGTTAGGGGCAGTGGGTGGAAGTCTGTAGAATTTAGGCATGAATGTTGTGTGAGCAAAAAATTGTTGTATAATTGTCCTAGTAGCCCAAGGGGCTGGGCATCCCGGAGGCTGTGGCCCCTGGTCCTTCAAAGGGACGGATACTGTTGAGGAGTCTGATGCACAGTTGCCACTTTTGAAGAGCTGCACAGCAGGGGGCAGCCAGTGCCTCACACCCCCAGTGCCACCACCTTTCTCAAAGGCTGTGTTCTGGATTCTCCATCCACACAGGATCACGGGTCTTTTTATCATCACACACCGGATAGGAGTCTGGCTGTGGCCGAAGGGTGGGAGGCTGGAGCTTCCGTCCCAGCACTCTGGCTCGACCTTTTGCGGCCCCCCGCTTGTCTGGAGCCTGTCTAATCACATCCAGGCCTGACCTTGCCAGAGGTCCTGGAGCAGGAGTGGAGTCCCTGCTCCCCTTCCTGAGCCGCCCTAGATCTGGCTCTCAGGAGACCCTTCCCCTCAGGGTGATTTATAGGGGTATCCAGGAACCACTTCCTGCCCAGTTCTGTTCCCTCCCAGACGAGCTGAAGGCCAGGCTCATTCTTCACCCCTTGGTCCCTTCCACAGCCTGGTAAGGCAGAGAGGGGCTTAGAGACCCTAGATTGCTTGGGGACAAAGGTGCTTTCTTCTTCCTGTTCCTATTGCTTTCTCTGCCCCACACCCGGTAGGCCTCCCAACCAGTTCCTGTTGCCCATTGCATTAAGGGACCCAAAACTGTCCCACCAGGCCAACTAGTGTCAGCAGGAGTGTGAAGCATCAGCAGCCAACATCGCAGCAGTACCTCCGGGCTGACTTGCTCAGGGAGCTCCAAGGTCCAGTCCTCAGTCCAGCTAACCGAGGACCCTCTCTGCAGAAAGACTCCATGAGGGACAGTCCTGGCCCCAGCCCTGCTATCTGGCTCAAGCCAGAGCAAGAACAGACTTGTGAACCAAGCATCTTCCATCCCGAGACCAGGGAGGCAACCTTGCCACGAAAGAAGCATGCGGAGATGAAGGCAGCTAAACTGAGTAGCCTGCTTGTGGCTGTGGCTCCGGACAAGGGCCTCCGTGTATGCTGCATACCTGGTCCCCCAGTGAGGCCTAGAGTCCCTAAGGGATGTGCAGGGATGTGGGGAGCAGAAATAAAAAGGAGCCATGGGGACAAGGCCAGTTTGGGTCCTAGGGGCGGTGTCAGGAACTGTCCCTAGGCCTCCTTACTGCCCCTCCAACCAGCGAGAAGAGGCTGTTTCAACGTTCAGTCTGCTTGAGGGCTACCTAAAACTTGCTGAGTTGGGAGACCCCAAGGACACCCCAGCAAAGGGCTAGGCCTCAATTTCCCCTTTGCAAAATGACAGAATTTGCTTCAGAGAGGTTTTTAAACACTTTACAAGGCAAACCTACTCTTCAAGCACCCAGAACAGCACCCAGTACTGCTGAGGGACAGGTTCCATGAGGGGCTGCTCTGATGGAAGGAAGATGTGGCTAGGGAGGACCCCAGGGGACCCAGGACCCCTCGATACCAGGGTGAGGACTATCAGGCTGGCTCCATACCCCTGACCCCTTCTAGCACTAGCATTCCTCTGCTGAGTCACACTCATTAGCACTGTGTCTGCTATTGTCACAGTTTAGTCTGTATGGGAAGTTGGCTGGGGTCTGGGGAGACTGGATTTCTCCCTCCTGTGCCCCAAGAAGCAGCAGCTCCTTCCTAGTCTGTCTGTCCTCAGGCCAGCTCCCAGCACTAGGTGCCTCAAGGGAGCCCGGAATGGGGGCCAGAGGCACAAAAGGCTTTGGCTCCTTAATGAGGAGGCATCTGTAGTCAGCAGAGCCATTAGTCCCCCCCCCCCCCGTCTCCCGCCCCCTGGTCCCTGGGGAGCTTTGAGCTCCTCTCCAGCTGGATCGAGGAGAGGGCAGGCAGCTCTCCAGCTCCCGAATGGGCAGGGCCCCGGGGGGACAGATGTAGATCCAGGAACGAGGAGCGAGGGTGCCCTTGACACTCCCCAGGCCTGCAACCAGCCTTCCTGGAGTTTGGGGACACAGGCACTAGAGGGGCTCCTTCGGCCATTGATCCCCCTCCCCAAACCCCTGACTGGCCTGCAAGGTTTTGGCCTGAGACTGGGCGGGCAATCGTCAGTGCTCCCTGGAGGTCCTCTCAGCACGCTGATGGGGCAGCTGCCCGGCCACCCCCTGGGCCTCAGGCTCCGTTTCTAAGAGCTGAACCTGCATAGAATACATGTGGTTGATAATGCACACAGTACCAGCCACCAGAGCTTCGGAATTCAACCCCCGTTCCCGTCCAGGTGTCACCTAGGCCACAGGCATGGAGCACAGCCCCACACGTGTGTATAAAGCCGTACACACCCATCCGCCGCACTCCCAGGAGGCCCCCAAAGAGGAGGAGGCAGGGCAGGGTTTTTATGCATGTTTATATTTAATGAACCATATGCAAATGAGATGGAGAATGCGCCATAAAGGAGCCAGCCCCCAGGGACTCTGGGTAGAAGGGCACAAAGGCACGGCCTTTTGGGGTGGCCTAGAGTCCACAAGAGGCCTGTGGCTGGAGGGGCCTGAGACAGGGTGCTGGGGCTGTGGGGAGGGCTGCCTGCCACAGCAGGGAGCGCAGAGCAGGAGCTGTGACAAGCTGCAGTGTCCCTGCTGCTGTAGGGAGGGCTCCTTCCGGGAGGGGAGCAACTGTCCCAGTTGATGGAGTGCCTGAGGGGGGGGCTGCCCGCTTGGACAGATGGCGACCGCCTTCCACACTCGAAGCAAAGTGGATTTAAATGCAATTGCAGCCCTAGTCCTGGAGCTGGGAGCCCGGGTGGGCGGGGCCCTTCCCAGCCTCACAGGGAGGGGCTTGTGCATGGTGGGGGACAAGGGTGGGGAGGACACTTAACCAGCCTCACGCTGGGGGAGAGGGGGTCTGTCACAGCCCCTCTGCACCCGGCTCTGCAGACCAGAATTGAAGCAGTGAGTTTAGATCCCCCAAAGGTGGAGAGGGGCCCCTGAATATTTATGACACATTGAAATGTAGATTGGTAGGTTTGACAGTCTTCTGAGAGCTTGTCACCCTGGGCGGTGCACCACCCTCTTGGGGCACAAGGAGAAACTACGGAAGGACCACTGCGGGGATGAAAAGGGGAGGGGAAGGATGCCTGGTAACCAGGGTCTGACAACTTGGTGGTGTCCCTGCTGGGTCACGTTGGACTAATCGGCCCCTCCCCTGGGCCTCAGTTTCCAGGGCAGGCAAATGTGGAGCGCAGTACTCAGAGCTTGCGTCCCACAGGAGGAGTCGATGAAAAGAAATCTGAAAGCAGCTGAAAAAGTGGGGAGCAGACTTGGGGTCAGTGCTTTCTCAGGTCGGCCTTCTTGGGTCAGCTCTGCAGGACCCCGCACACACAGCCTGAAATATCCCTGTGGAAGTGTGGTTGGCCCAGCCTTGGCTCAGACCTCTCTCAAAGGGCTTCAGCCCAGCGTGTCCGCCACTGCACATCTCTGGGCCACTCGTGGGTGAGCTCTGGGGCACTGTGCCCAGACCCAACCCTCTCCTCTGGCTGCCCCAGCAGGTCTCACCCACCCTGCTCTCTTCACAGCCATGTCGGACTTCCACGTGCACCCCCAGGCCACCGTGGGCGAGGAGGGCGGTGTGGCCCGCTTCCAGTGCCAAATCCACGGGCTTCCTAAGCCCCTGATCACGTGGGAGAAGAACAGCGTGCCCATTGACACGGCCAATGAGAGGTGAGTCCCGGTTGGAGGGACGAGAGGCCGGAAGCAACTCCACCTTGGAGACCCCGCGGCCTGGGCTCTAGGCTCATGGACCTGGCCGTGACAGCTGTCTTTGGAGCAGTGCAGAGCCTGGGCTGTGTCTCTGACACTCCGTGCTCCTGTGGCCCACAGTGCCAGTGACTGTGCCGCCTGCTGCCCCCAGGTACACGTTGCTGCCCAAGGGGGTCCTGCAGATCACAGGCCTCCGGGCTGAGGACGGTGGCGTCTTCCACTGTGTGGCCTCGAACATCGCCAGCGTCCGGATCAGCCACGGGGCCCGGCTCACGGTGTCAGGTGAGGGCCCCTGGGCTACAGGCCCTGGTGACCGAGCGCATGCTCCGTGCTTACCTAGCACAGGGCCCAGAGCAGGTGCTGCAGCTGGCAGGGAGGCCCCACTGCGCTCCACCTGGGAAGCTCCACTGTCCCCTGCTGAGCCCCCGGCTTCCCCAGGCCCCCAGGACCTGGTTTCCGGGGTGGTGTCTGTCCTGCGCGGACCATGGGTGGGGTGAGGAAGAGGTTTCCAGCTGGAGTGAGGGAATCCTGCCTTTTCCTTCCAGGCTCGGGCTCCGGGGCCTACAAGGAGCCCATGATCCTCGTGGGGCCCGAGAACCTCACCCTGACGGTGCACCAGACCGCAGTGCTGGAGTGCGTCGCCACGGGAAACCCACGCCCCATTGTGTCCTGGAGCCGCCTTGGTGAGCCTCAGCCCACAGCCTGGGCCCCATCGCCGGCTCTGGGGGGCTCTGAATCCTTCTGTTCTCCATGGCGGTCCGTTCCCACCTGTGGCCTGGGGAGGCCGGGTCTCCTCTCCTGCCCGTCACATTCCCTGCCCCATCCAGTCCCCCAAGGAACCCGGCCCGCGCTGGCCCCTGCCCTCTGGCCCCTGCCCACACTCCCAGCTATGCAATCCCAGGTCCCTCAAACTCTCAACCTCACTGTGGGCCCCCCCAGCCTCCCGCCTGGCCCCTGAGTCCCCAGCCTAAATCCCTGGGCAGCTGAAGGAAGAAAGCAAAGGGTGCAGATGGGCCCACATTGTCTGAGCGGAGAGGTCACGGGGGAGGAGGCTGTGGAGGGTGGGGTGGGGTCGCATTCACAGGGACACTGCCACATTGTAGCCGCTGAGTGATGGGGAAGGAGGGGCCCCAGGCGGGATAATGGAGTAGATTTCACCACTTCAGGGCCTGAATGGGGAGCTGTCTCCTTGTGTTCTGACTGCACTAATCTGATCCCAGGCTTGGGGGAGGGCCTGGGTCCCTGGGAGAGGCTGGAAAGAGTGGCCTCACCATCAGGAGCGGCCACTGGGCCCTGCAAGGACCATCTGGTCCCCCATTACCCAAAGCGTGATTCATCAGGAGGGAAAGAAAGGCTCAGTGGCCTGACAAGTTTGGGAAACCAAGTTCACCAGGTCCTTGGACTGTAGGACTCCGCAGAGCGTTTCTATTAGTGGCCATTATGACCCAGCACCCAAGAGTGGAATGGGTATTCAACCACGGAACTTTTTAAAAGAGAGACAGACCGGGCTGGGAAATTGAACCCAAAGCCCTTCCCATGTGGCTGGAGAAACAGAAGTGGCTTGAAGGTCAGCAGTGAATCAGAGCTGGTGCTGGGGTCAGAATCTGGTCCCTGCTTCTGGGGCAGGAGGGTTTCACCCTTCTCTCTGCTGCTTCCAGGGAGAGAAGGTATCAAATCAAAGACTGGGGCTTCCTTAGCCAGCAGTGGAGGTGCACCTGTCATCCCAGCACTGCGGGAGGCTGAGGCAGGAGGGCCACAAGTTTGAGCCCAGGCTGGGTAACTTAGGGATTTATCCAGATCCTGTCTCAAAGTAAAAAAGGACTGGGGATGTGGGTCAGTGAGAAGGGCCTGGGTTCAATCCCTCGTACTGAAAAAAGAAAGGAAAGAGAGGTGAGGGCCCCTTTAAAGGCTGGTGAAGGACGCCCCGCTGACCCAGCTCACCCCCACCCTTCTCAGATGGCCGCCCCATCGGTGTGGAGGGCATCCAGGTGCTGGGGACAGGCAACCTCATCATCTCCGACGTGACCGTGCAGCACTCGGGTGTCTACGTGTGTGCGGCCAACAGGCCGGGCACCCGGGTGAGGAGGACGGCACAGGGCCGGCTGGTGGTGCAGGGTAGGACGACGTCCATGCGCGAGGAGGGAGCCCCACCCCTCCTCTGGCCTTGTTCCCGCCTCCTCAGCGTCCTCTGTCACCCCTGTCCCACGCCTCTCCCCAGGCCCCAGGCCAGGCAAAGGCAGCGGCTCTGCACCCCGGGAACACGTGTTGGGGACACAGCCTCCTGGTGCCAGCCCTGCCCCCTGCACCCCAGGAGTTGTTGCCCCTTTCTGTCCCAGCTGGCTGTCCCCAGCTCCATCACACACGTCCCTCCCCCGCGTGCCGTTTCATTCACACATGTGGCCCTGCCACACTCACACCTACCTGCCTGTCATTTTCACACCCTGCACGGCCGTACCCGCCTCGCATGCAGAGCTCCCCATCCAGCCCCTGCCCTGGGCTCAACTGTCCCTGTGAGCTGGGCTTGCGGTTTCATTTCCGGGGGTGTCCTGGGGCTGCTCCCGCCTTGAGAGCAGCAGAAGGCATGGGAGTGGGGGAATCCACTGCATTCAGTGCATTTGGCTGGCTTTCCGGGTGCCCTTAATCTGTCCAAATGAAGGTGACGGAGCGTTCCATTTCTGGGTGTTCATGGAGGCTCCAGGCCGGGATTGAGCGTGGGGACTGGGGGGGACAAGACCTGGGCTCATCCATCTCCGTCATTACCACCTGGGAGGTACAGCCAAACCTATTAGCACATGTAGCACAGATATTTAACAATTTCCTGAACGAGGAGCTCAGCTCGATTGCTTTTGGATGCAGATGTCTTTCTTTTGAGTAGTTGTTCACATGGAGGCCTCTCTTGGGTCCGCCTGGGGTGGGCTAAGGAGGGAGCTGGAGGGGACCCAGGGGCGGGTGTGTGTGTGGACCCCACACGCTCCTCTGTGCCCCAGCGCCAGCCGAGTTCGTGCAGCACCCACAGTCCATCTCCAGGCCGGCCGGGACCACGGCCATGTTCACCTGCCAGGCCCAGGGGGAGCCTCCGCCCCACGTCACGTGGCTGAAGAATGGGGAGGTGCTGGGTCCCGGAGGCCACGTGAGACTCAGGAATAACAACAGGTAGTGTGTCCTGTGTGCTGGGTGACACCCAGGGACGGGACAGGGAGGGGGCCTGGGACAGGCGGTCTGTAGATTGTGCCTCCTGCCAGGGCAGAGCACTTAACAGGGATGGTAGAGGTGTGGATTTTTTTTTTTCAGTTTTTTGAGACAGGGTCTCGCTATGTACTCCAGGCTGGCCTTGAACTCACAGTGATCCTCCCACCTCAGCCTCCTGAGTGATAGAATAACCAGCATGCACTGCCAAGCCAGGCTGGAGGTGTATGTTTGAGCCCAGGCCTGCCCCTTGTTGGTGGGGAACCTCCGTCATATGCAACATTTTTCTTCTGGAGGGACTCAGTTTCTCAGTCTCTCAGACTGGGAATCTGGCAACCTCTGGGACACTCAGGGGCACTCAGGGACCTGAGCTCTCCCTGCCCCCTGCAGCACGCTAACCATTTCGGGAATCGGCCCTGAAGATGAGGCCATCTACCAGTGCGTGGCCGAGAACAGCGCGGGCTCATCCCAGGCCAGCGCCAGGCTGACTGTGCTGTGGGCCGAGGGGCTCCCCGGGCCCCCTCGCAATGTCCGGGCTGCCTCTGTGTCGTCCACCGAGGTCCAAGTGTCCTGGAGCGAGCCCTTGGTCAACACCAAGGAGATCATAGGCTACGTCCTGCACATCAGGAAGACTGCCGGTGGGTTGGCGATCCCTGCCCCTTCTCCTCCCTCCACCCTGGCTGCCCCATGTCACCAATGCTGGCAAGACATCCTCATGTCCCTTACCCTTCCCTGCTGGGCCCTTTGCTTGGCCAGATCCTCCGGAGCTGGAGTATCAGGAAGCAGTCAGCAAGAGCACCTTTCAGCACCTGGTGAGCGACCTTGAGCCCTCCACGGCCTACACCTTCTATATCAAGGCCTACACACCAAGAGGGGCCAGCTCAGCCTCCATCCCCACCCTGGTCAGCACCCTGGGTGAAGGTAAGACTGGGATATCAGAGTGGGACTACCAGGTACACGTGTTTAGGTTGTGCACTGCACAAGGGGGCTGGCCCTGAGGCTGAATAAGGGCTGGGTCTACTTGCAGGAAAGGGCACCCTTTTCTAATGCATGAGAAAGTGCCTAGTGGGCAAATGCACACTCAAGGTCAGAGGTCAGAGCACTGTCAGGCTCCTGGGGGTCCAGGTAGGAGGTGGTAGAAAGGCAGAACTTCGCTGAGTGCTCACACCTTGGCTCCTTCTCTGCCCCAAGCTCCTGCCCCACCCCTGCTCTCTGTGCGAGTCCTGGGTGGCTCCCTGCAGCTGCTGTGGGAACCCTGGCCCCGGCTGGCTCAGCTCGAGGGTGGCTTCAAGCTGTTCTACCGCCAGGCGGGCAAGGCTCCCTTCACCGGCCCCATCCTGCTGCCTGGAACTGCCTCCTCCTACAACCTCAGCCGGCTCGGTGAGGGGGCTCTCGGGGCAGAGGCGGGGTGCGCGAGCCCTTGGTGGATTCGGGTACAGGGTCACTCAGCAGCGCTGCTTCCCCAGACCCCAGCGCCGTGTACGAGGTGAAGCTGCTGGCCTACAATCAGCACGGGGACGGGAACGCCACGGTCCGCTTCGTGTCCTTGCGGGGAGCATTGGACAGGACAGGTGAGGGTGTGGGGGCCGAGGCTGGGACCCAGGCAGGTGGGAGGGGACGGTGCATGAAGCTTGCCTGGCAGCATTCTTGCTGCTACCTCGGTCAAGCTCCTTAGCCTATCTGAACCCCAATATTCTCTGTAAAGTAGAGATAATAACACCTGCTTTACAAAGATATGGCAAGGATGAAGTAGTCTGTGTAAAGTGCTATCCCCTAGTCCCAGCACTTGGGAGGCTGACCTAAAAAGTGCTACTGCCAGTACTGGGCAGAGTCAGTGCTCCGTAATTGGAGAAGAGAACCGAAAAGGTTGGGCTAGGGTCATGCAGGCAAAGTCACAGGGTCGAGCAGAGGAAGGAGTCCTCAAAGGCTGGATGTCTGGGGGTGCTTCGAGCCCAACCTGCCCCTTCCCCCAGCCCTGAGCCCGCCCTGTGACTGCCGGAAAGAGGAAGCGGCCGACCAGACGTCTACCACAGGCATCGTCATTGGCATCCACATCGGGGTCACCTGCATCATCTTCTGCGTCCTCTTCCTCCTGTTTGGCCAGAGGGGCAGGTGGGTCCTGGCCTGGGGCGGAGATGGGCTTGGAGAGGGGGCCTGGGCTGGCCCTGTCCTCTGCCCCTGCTCCCCCTAATTCTTGCTCACCCTGTAGGGTCCTCCTGTGTAAGGACGTGGAGAATCAGCTCTCGCCTCCCCAGGGTCCCCGGGGCCAGAGGGACCCTGGCGTCCTGGCCCAGAATGGCGTGGCCCAGGGAGAGCATCGAGAGGAGAAGCTCGTGGATGCCAAGGAACTGGAGCAGCTGTGTCCCCCAGCAGGGGCGGCGGGCCAGCCGAGCCCCAGCCCCACTGTGAGTGCCCAAGCCCCCAGCCACATTCCCTCTGAGCACGTCCCCTTCCTGCCCCAACTTCGTGGTGGCCACAGGCCTCAATCACCGGCCTTAGCCAAACTCCAGGCCTGCCCCTGGTCACAAAACCCAAGGCAGGCAGGCAGGGAGGCCCCGAGACCCGAAGCCCGAGTGGGATCCAGCCCTCCTCGTGTGACACCTGTGTGACTGGCCCTGTCCCTGCAGGACCCTGCAGCCCCTGCCATGTGTGAGGAGACACAGCTGTCCATGCTGCCACTTCAGGGGTTCAGCCTTCTGGAGAGGAGGACACCAGAGGCCATAATGGTCCCTTGTACAGACCCTGAAGCTACCCTGCCACCCCAGGACACAGGCCACAGCCTCCTTAGTGAAGGACAGGCTGCCCGGCCAGCTCACCTGAGACAGTAGCCAGTGTCCGGCCGGCCGGCGGGGAGCCCCCCATTCTCAGGTCAAAGGCAAGATTTCTCCTGTCACGTGAGAGGTGGACAGTCCTGGGGGGCAGCCCTGCGTTTCTGTCCTGACTGAAGGATGGGGACCCCTCTGGGAGGTGGAGGGCCCCCTGCAGGAGCTCCCATCCCTGGGCTGATGTCCCCTCACTGCTGCCTGGTACCCATGCAACTTGGAACTGGACTAATGTTTTCCTTTAAAAGTCAGAACTGAAAAAGAGAGAGAAGGAAGAAAGGAGAAGGTGAATTAGACTCCAAATATTGCCCCTGCTGTGCCGGGCCCGACACAGTCCCCTGCCCGACCTTGTTTTCTCAGGATGGACTTCGCTGTGTTAGCGCTCAGCACCTACCTCAGCCGGAATGAATGTCCTCGGGGAGGGGACGGCACCCTGGGCCCTGCCCCTCAGAGCCGAATGCACGCCTACCTCAAGCCCCTCTGTGGGCTCCCCTCCCGCCCTCATTGTCCAGAGTTTAAAAAAAAAAAAAAA